CTGTCAAGTTCAACATTTGTATTTTGATGAAAGTTATGCATCGACGTGACACATACGCACAGCACATAGAAAAGTCGTCTCACACCCATGCTCACTCCCAAGAGTTCTCCCAGAAATGTAAATCTAACATCACTTTCTAGCATTACTTTTACCCCTCTGCTTGGCGGCGCGATGATAATCATATTTACAGAGAGCACCACCTTGGGAGCGCGTTTTGGGGAGCGGAAGCCATGCTTAAAATCCAACCATTTCTTTAAAATGTATCAACCGTGCCGGGACTGTTCTAGCTCTCGGCAAATGTTAACATTTAATCCTTGTGACCAGTGGGAAAGCGGCCACGCTCCCCATTTTTCTCAGGTAGCTACTGAGACCGGGAAGCTAAGAGGCGGGGATGGGAACCCAGGCGTGGGGGCCCCGCGGCTCCGCGCGCTGTCCCACCGCACACTGCCTCTGGGTGGCGCTGGAAATAGAGAAGCGGACCTTCGGGCCCTCTTCCGTCCTTTTCGGGGGATCTGCGGAACATGCTAAATCCTAGGCAGCTTACTAACAATGTGCTTGGCAAGTGAGAGCACAGGTTTTAAGTTGCAGGTTATCGCTGTACTAATCAAACTCTGGCTTCCCTCTGGAAGCTGCTATTTTAGAAATATGCGAATTGCGACTGGGAAAATTTTTTCGAACAATTTAGTGCCACTTTAGAAGATTTCTGCATTAAATTGGGACTGATTTTGGCTTCTGGAATGGAAGTAACTATTCCAAGTATTAGTGGGAGATTTGAGAATTTACATGAATTGTTTGCCAAGGGAGCTGGGTATAATTGCCCCAGGTAAATTACACTCTGTCACTCGCTCTTTTTTTAAACACACATTGGGGTGGAACAGCTGACCCCTCTCATTTTAATTTAGACGTGTTTTGTTTTGTTTGCACATTATTCCAGAGAAAATTGCTTGACGCTGGCCTTTCTCCGGCTAATTTTTCTGCTTGCCTTGCACTAGGCTTAGGACAAGTAAACCCATGTTGAGATCCTCGAGGTTGAGTCTTGGATGAGGCTTAGTTTTGCATAGCACACCAGTCAGCTGCAGATGGTTTGCCTTAAAGGTGGAAATAATGATTTTTCTCCCCACTGTTTTGCCCTTCTTATCTTCAGAGAAGTGTTAGTTAAGATGAAGGCAAAGTCGTTCTGTTGCTCTTAGAGTAAGTTATTATACTTGTTTTGTGCAGATTTTCAAGTTGATATTTAAAGGGCCTTAATATAGGTATTACAAATGCTTTTCTAATCTATGGCCTAGGTGACACCTCCATATAGTTTAAATTATTTAAGGTGATCCTGCTGATGGAAAACTCTTATAATCTAAAATCTTTATAAAAGTACAAAAATAAATTAAAAAAATCAAACTCACAAATATATGTATATACATACATATATGTATTTACTTTGACATTTGTATAAAATACATGAAAGCCATTTGGTTGGAGGTGACTGAAATCCAGTCTGGTACAGCTTCAAAACGATCCCTATGTTTTTGCAACATAATCTGCAAATTTCATTTAGCAAGATATACTACAGGAAAGAGCAGTGTTGTGTATCTATCACTTTTCCTGTAATTTTGGACTATTTCTAATATCACTTAGCAACAACAAATTTTTTTCAAGATTTATTTTTGGGTACAGAATTGGGGTACAGGCCAGAGGTGCAGGGCTGAGAGGATTCACCAGAGACAGAGTGGTGAGCGGAGCAGGCAAACCCATTCAGGTACAATGCCTAGGGGAGCAGCAGATAAGACAGACCCGGGTGGTCTGCTGGGCCATGTGGGTCAGCTCCCTGGCTGGGGATCCAACTCAAGCTGCAGTGACTAGTGATTGCAGGGAAATTCTTTGATATAATTATTGGTTTAAAAATTTTTTTCTGTACCAGTGTAGTTACTGCAGACTGCTTCTTTTCAGTAGAAAGTCAAATACCAGATGGTTTTGTTATATGTGGAATATACAGAAATAAGAGGAAGGGTCAGACAAAACCAAGCTAGTAACAAACCCTAGAAATCTCACTGTAGAATTGAGGCTACCAGAGTGAGCGGGAGGGAGAGGCAGGGGAGTGGGTCTACTGGGACTATGGTGGGGGGGCTTTCAGTGCCTTGGAGGTGGGAGTGGTGACGTAACCTGCACCTGAAGGGTGGGACCCCCTGTCTCTAAATCATATACAGTGCTGTAAACCAATGTTACCTCAATTAAAAAAGAAATGATTCTTCATAATTTGTCAAGTTTATCAAGTGACACATTAAAAAAAAAACCCACCAGCATTAAGTTAACTTGTGCTTCTTTACATTCAATTCTGTGATGTTTAAAGAAGGTAAATGGGGAAAATGGAGAATCTGGAGGGACATGTTTTTGGCATTTAGGTTGAACTGCTTTGAAGTATTTACCATCTCGTGAGGAGCATGTCTTTGGTGGCATTCGAGGCTGCACTTTTTACAAAGGAACTTTTCAGTGTTGTTTTGAGTCCAGCAATAGCAAAGAAAAAGTGCTACGCTGGACAGCATGGTGGGGACTGTGGAGAGTCTGCCCTATCTGAAGGGGGCAGTCACTGGGAGCTCCCTGACTACAGGTGACAAGGATTACTGAAGGAATAGTGAAGCTGTTGAATCTCCTCACTTTTCAAGAGAAGACATTTAGATTTTAATGTGAGATCTCAGTTTTTAAATGTTAACAACTAATAAAATTATTTTAATTACCTAACAAAAAATATTTTGTTTACAGGATGGCATTGGCCTGACAATGTGAGACTCGATTTTAGTCCATCAGTTTCAGTGTGGTATACCTGAGGTTAAACAGTTTTACATTTGAGGACCAGCTTCCAGAACTTTAGTCTAGTGATCGTGCATACCTATACCTGGTTGTGTATGGGTCATTGGGTTTGTGGGGAGCCCCCTCCCCAACCTCCCACCCCAACCTGGTCCAGTTCCTTCAGTTATTTTTCCTACTTGTTCTTAAATTCTTTCACTCTCTGGAAGACTTTGTAAGCCTTGATTCTTGCTGCCTTCTTTTTCCACTGTCTTTCCTTTGAGGTACACTGGGGAAGTACCTCTTCGAAACCTGAGCTCCATCTGTATGCTCAGCACTGACAGGCTCTTTCCATCTCATTCAACGTCCCAATCGTCCTCCTACTAGCTTCTTCCACAGTGGAAGACACAAATTGAGAAGCTTCAATTTGTGACCTGGTGCAATCAATGTTTGAACTTCATGCCTCATGAAGCCTGGATTCCTTCTACTGCATCACACTGGTCCCCTTCCCCAAGCCTAGGGAGCTAATGATGATCACACAACTCAAAGTTTGGAGCAAAGCTTTGCTTTTTATTGCAGTTATTAGTGGAAGTTACACTTCAAATCGAAGCTAAGCAACATTAAAACCGTTACTTTTTTTTTTTTAAATCAAGGATCAAAAACAAACACATTGATCCCTTCCATACACAGAATGGTAGGAGAGTGGAGAGGGCCTGTCACAGGACATTTTAGTGACAGTTTGGCTCAGAAAGAATTACAACAATTTCCTTAACATAAATTATGAAGAACTAAACTGCTTAAAGAGCATCAGGCTTCTCAATTTCAATTTCAACCTTAAGTTTTTTTTTTTTTTTTGTAGTAATTTTTTTTTCTGGGCAGATCATTTAACTGAAAGTAGAAAATTTACTACCAAATTTTAAATACCAA